AGTGCTTTGGCAGGGAAGAGCTCCTGCAAGCCCACCCTGGGTGTGTTTCTGGGTTGTCTTGCTCAAGACATGCCAGAACAGCCAAGTGGAGCTGGTCAGCTCAGGGCTCGAGCCTGCTTGCTGCTGGCGGTGTGGCTGTGCTCGCAGCAAGCTCTGGCCACGCCGTGTCAGGGTGGGGAGCTGAGGATAACTGGTAGAGGTGAAAAGAAATGCTGCCCCAAATGCATCGTAAGCACAGGTAAGGGGATGACGTGTCTGTCTGCTTTCTGTTTGTCAGCCTTGCTTCATGTCTACCAGGGTAACCAAGAGTGGGGAGCAGGCGTGTGTGTGAACTGTACGTGCAAAACTCAATGGCAAAGGCTTCCCTCCTCTCTGCATTCATAATGTTCCTCAGCTGTGAACTTCAGAGTGTAGTTCTGTTTCAGATTCATTACGTGCTTGTTCTTGGTATTCTGTAATGGGAAAGACAGAGTTTCTGTGGGCTGGTCTTTCTCACAAAGGTAGCTGATGTTCAGTTGACACTGGTTGTGAGCCCGTGCTCCGTTCAGGCAGGGATCCAGAGGCTGCTGTGCCATTCACACCCCAGAGGGACTGCACTGAGACTCTCTGTAAGGCTCTCCTTTGCAATTTGTTGTCCTAAAGAGTGGGAAGCATCCAACTTCAATCCCTCTGTGCCACTGACCTGTTCTTGTCTCAGGAATAAGTGGACAGACAGTCTCAGTTCCAGCCTGGATCCTTGCCTGATCTTGGGGTGGCTTCTCACTTCCCTGTAACTTTAAGTAAAATAAAGGCACTAGAGGTGGAACAGACTGGCTGCAGGACTTACTGGGTGATGTTTCTCTGCCTGTTAGGCTGAAGGATAGGTGATTCTGATGGCCTCTTCCATGGTCCCAGGAAGAATCCTACTCTCTCCCTAATGCAGAGCTGGCCATAACGACAGAGCTGCACAGCAGGGAACATGCAGCTGGTTTGTATGACTTACAGTGAGGAATCCATCCTCCTTTTCTGTCTCTCCTGAAACATTCACCAGGTTTTGAAGGCCAGTGGGAGGAGGAAGAGGTGGGCAATTCCCTGGTGGCCCTGTACATTCCATCACCAACCTCAGGAAATCATCTTTGTGTGATCTTTGCCACTCGCTGGGGGTTTTTAGCTGCGTTGTTGAACCAGCCAGGATTTCCCTCTCTCTTGGTTGTGTTTTGGTTTTGTTTCTCTGATTTGTTTTGTTTTTCTTTAGGGCACCACAGCTTCCTGGTTGAACAGCAATTTCCCCCTAACTGGTTTCCAACCAGCTGAAGGACTGCTTGATGCTGTGTCCTGATGGGACCAGTGTACATGACCAATCCTTTGCTTTCATGAATCCAGGAGCACCTGAGAATTAGAGATTGTATTTTTGGAGTGCAGGCAAAGTTCACAACAGAACTCTGTCAGCCAGCAAGACTAATGGCTAAGTTAATTTCTGACCTCTATGACACAGGCAAGGCTAACTTCTTTCTTCTTGACAGGAAACAAATGTCAAGATGCTAAGGACAAGGTCTGCCAATGTCGTCAGGGCTACAGCTGTTCTGATACTGCATGTGGCTACTGTGAGAAGCTGCCTGAATGTGCAGAGGGCCAGGAGCTGGTGAAGCAAGGTAACTAAAGAAACACTGCTTACTCCAAAGGGCAGAGCTCAAGATAGGTGGCTGGCTGAGCAGCAGTTTCCTTCACTTATTACAACCTGCTTTTAGGAAGGAGCATGATGCAGAGAGAAAGGGCATTTAAGCTGTGGCCTCTGTGACTCAAACCCCTGGTTCCCTGTTTTATAGCTCTTCCCTTTCTACATTTGACAGTTTCACTTTCATGCTCAGACTTGCAGTGTTACTTTCCTTCCAAGCTGTTTGAACTATCAGTTGAAGAATGTTTTCCTGCTGTCAGATCAGACTGTTCTGTACCTCTTCCTTAAAGGACCCACCTCTTTATTTCTCAGAATCCCAAGGTGGCAAGAACTGCTGTGGAATTTCACAATGCAGCAAGAGTGCAGAGGGGCTGGATTGTGCTCTGACCAGTCGTATCCTCCCCTTCCAGTCAAGGCACTAATCATTCATGTTCTCTTTTCTTTCAGGCTCTATAGACTTCACATTTGAATGCAAACCATGTGAGACAGGAACATATTCCAATGTCAAGAATGGCTGGTGCCGTAACTGGACTGAGTATGTATTTCTGGCTGCTCTCCTTCTTTGGAAATAAGCATGATAAAAGTCTCAAATTATTAATATTTAAATTAGAAAATAAAATAGAATCAAGTATGAGATCACGCATGAGATGAAACTGTTTTTAAAAATCCAGCAATGCAGGATATTTCTCTCTCCTTTGGCTTTATAAATGAACTGAAGACAAATTGCTGTGGGTTCAACCTGCTTCCCAGGCCAGCAAAGTCATTTCAAACATGGACATCACTGGAAACAAAGAGACTAAAACAAAAAAAAAGCATACAAACAATTGGGAGGTAGTGTGATCTTGCTGGGGAACAGCCATAATTTTACCTGCATTGCTATCAGAAAAGGAGGAGACAAACTGTGGAAAGAGGGGGGGGAGGGAAGAAAGGGAGACAAGAGGCTGGAGAGGAATGAAGGGAAAGGCAGGAACATTCTTAAATGTGACTCTTCTTCTTCTTTAAGCTGTGAAAGTTTTGGCTTTGTGACAGTCAAGCAGGGCAACAGGACACATAATGCAGAGTGTGGTTTCCATTCCAAAGATCTGGAAGAAGGTACCTTCTCACAATGTTTTGTTTCTTTGAGCCTATAACTTCTCCTCTACCCCTCTTCAGCTGGTGACTCCTGCATAGTTCTCAACCAGAGTTTGCTACCATGAACATTTGCTTTAAAAATTACTGCTGTGCTTCTTGCAATAATAATAATGATAATAAAGGTAGAATTGCTGACCTGGGCAAAGATTCCACCCTTAAAGCACTGCCAGGCAGAGAAAAGCCCAACAATTGTCCTTAAATTAGAGCACACTTCTTTGGCAAATCATCATCCTTTTCCTGCTGTTTGTGCTGATGATGCTGTTCAATGTTTCATTGTTGTTCTGCTAGATTTTCTTAGAAAGAGAATATATTGGTTAGTCATCCAGTTCCTTTACAAGTATTGGTTGAGTCCACAACACCCAGATTGAAATCTAATGTCTTATCATGGACCAAATGAGATAGGAATAAGTGGGTACAGCTTTGCAGGCACTGAGAGTCTTAGAGGCAGTGCTCCTGCCTTTCCCCCTGCAATGAATTGGTGCCTTTCAGGTCTGGACCCTTCATTCAGACAAGCAGTTGAGTCAAATTGCAAACAAGTGGTGCTTTCAGCTCCCATGGGGCTGACACCTGTGTGAAAACTTGCCTTGCTCCTCAGGGAGACATTGAAGCCAAATCTACCCAGAAGATGAAAACCAAAAGAGGGTAGAAAGATACAAGTGTGGTCTGCAAGAGAGAGAAAGAGAGACTGGGCAGTGAACTGATCAAGGATGTGAGGTTTTTTGCATCAGTTCTTCTTACCACAGACAGTGATCTATTGCTCCCTTGGCTTGGAGCATCTGTTTTATGGTTAATACCCATACTGGGGTGGGGTTTTTTTGCCTTGGAAGATTATTTTCCACAGAAAGAGAGATTGAATCTCTAAATTTACTTGGAATAACTGCCTTTCCTTGAACACAATGATTTCTTAATCTTTATTGAATCTGTTTAATTGCAGTTCCTATGAGAAGTGACTCTCTGTACACCACCATCCTGGCCATCCTTACTGCAGTGGCTGTGTTTATTCTCATCTTACTGACTTTCTTCTTGCATTTCTGCATGTGGTCACTGAAGAAAGAGAAATTCCACAGAGCTGACAAGGGTAGGTACATGTTTGTGGACTTCTCTGTAGCTTTTCAGTGGGGAACAATGTGTCCATGGATCCAGAGTCAGAATGGAATACATAGGGTTGAATAAAGCTGGATAAATAGAATCACAGAATGTCAGGTTGGAAGGGACCTGAAGGATCATCTGGTCCAACCTTTTTAGGTACTACTGTAGTTTAGATGAGGTGCCTCAAAATCCTGTCAAGCTGAGACTTAAAACTGTCCAATGTGGGGGAATCCACCACTTCCCTTGGAAGGCTGAGACTGTTCCAATGTTTGACTGCCCAATCAGAATTTCCCCAGGAGCAACTTGTTCCCATGACCCCTTGTCTCTTCCCTGTGGCTCCTTGTAAATAGGGTGTCTCCATCTTCTTGGTAGCCACCCTTTAAGTACTGGTCCATGGCAACGGGTCTTCCCTGAGCCCACTTTTCTCCAGGCTGCATTTCTCTCAGCACTGATAATTAGGTCTCCCCTGAGCCCTCTTTTCTCCAGGCTGCACAACCCCATTTCTCTCAGCAGTGATAATTCATGAAGGACTCACCCTGCAGTTTTGAGTGGGTTGCTTAGTTTTGCTAAGGTGCAGTGTAGCACCTGTAGCTTTGTCCTGTCCTGTCCCCTTCCTTGCTCAGGGTGGTGGGCAGCCAGTGACATGTATGCAGACCTCTTTGTGTTTGCAGTGCTTTTGCTTATTCTCACTGCAGATCTGGAACATAACTTCCTTAGGCTGCCAGGAGCTCCACAACTCACCCCTATCAGAGAAGAGATTGACAGCTGCCAGTTTCCTGAGGAAGAACATGGAGATGAAACACCAGAAGAGAAGCATGTCTATCTCTACCCTCAGAGTCTCCAATGAAAACAGATAAATTGCAGTTTGCTGTGAGAAGGGGGAGCTGAGCTTGTCAGAAGAGACAAAGAAGGGAAGGACTGAGTGCCTAAAGCATCATTATGTAGATACAAATAAGGAGTGGGGCTGGGGGAGTTTTGCTTTAATTCTTCTCTAGCCTTTACATTCAGTTTAATGCTCTTTTCTCATCCAGTTTGTAGAGTAGAAAAAAGCAAGGGAAAACAGGGAATTGCCAGCATTGGTTCCTGATGCTTTTTTCCTTCACCTCAGGAAAACAAAAGAGAACCAGAGCATCTGCTGGTGTATCCCAGTGTACTCCCAGTGGCTGAAAGGTGATCCCCTTACTGAAAATTGTACCACAGAGGGGTTTTTTTTACATGTTAATTAGTGCTCCTTCCATTTCATCGTGCTCTAACAAGGCTAAAAGGAATTTGTTTGCCTGACTTTCAAGGGGCAGAGCTCCAGCTGAAGTTGGCTGCCTCCTGTGAAGTGACACTGGTTGCAAGTAAGAATGTAGCCTGTGGCTTCAACCTGGTTAAAACTTGCCTGTTGGTTTTTTTTTGTGTAGAAGTATTTGTTTGTGTTATGTGAATGTGGATTCAAAGCTCTGGATACCAGTTCTGGTTTGGCCTTATGGTGAAAGCTGCTTGGAGAAGACTCTTTCATAACTGAGTCAGCTTGGACAGCAAGGGGTTACCTTCACATGGAAGGGTATAAGTATCTCCCAGTACAGCCATTACATCAGCTTCCTCCTCATTTCTTACAGATAACCTCAGCAGGACAGGCCTTCTGCATTAAATCCTACCAGAATAATGAAATTTCTGTTAATCAGCTTACTAAATGCTCAGGGGGGATTATTCCAAGTCTGAATGACATGCTGGTTTAAGCAGGGCTCTGTGGAATTCCCATGGCTGCAGAAGTTACTGCCTCCACAGCTGTGTGTTGCAAAAGCACTGGAGCAGGGAATCCTGAGAAGTGGGACAGGTTATTATTACCCTGGTGATCACAGAGCCTCTGTGCTCCAAGGCAGCCTTGGGAAGACTGGATAATGATCCACAGGCTTTCACTGAGGTGACTCCATGACAATCCAGTCCAGTGACTGGTTTCAAGTCAGAGAAGGAGGGACATTTTTTTAGTTGGAATTAATATTATCCGTTACGATTATGAGGAAGAATTGATTCCTCAACATCTTTTTAAGCATTCCTGGACTGTCATCTCTCCTTGTGTTCTCTAGGCTCTTATGCTACTTCACAGGTTGTGGTTTCTTAGCCCTTTTAGTCTCTCTAAGCTCTTTCCAATTGCTCTTTCTTGAAGCCTCCTCTGGAGGAGCTCTTGGCAAGCTTGAATAGAGCTAAAGGATTAATTTCATGATTCATGGACATGCTTTTATTGCTGAACATTTCTTCAGTGTTTATGTCAAGAGGAGCTATCCTGTCTTTTTAATTTTTGTTACTCTTTTTTTTTTTGTGCATTATAGAGAGTCTTGTAAGTGGGTGAAATGATTGTATGGAAAACTGAAGTGCAGGGGGTTGCCCTTTTCCACTAGATTGCATTCCTGTCACTGCTTTCATCTTCTAACTGCTCCTAGTGTGCTTATTGCCACTAACATCCCTCTACCTTAGCTTCCTCTTCATGCAGAATAGGAGCAGTGATGCTTCTCAGCCCTAGAAGGCTGTTGTGAGACATAATTAGTACTTCCAGTGTATTTTTGCCTGCTTTGATCCTCTTACCATTCATTCCTGTGTTGTGGATACGTTTTCCCATAGGTATTTCTAAGTGAAATTCAGTTGAGAAGAGGGAGTTTCCCTCCAGTGCTTTGGGAAATGTGCAGGTTCTTAATGGGTGTAAACTGGAGATTCAGCCAAGGAAAAGTGAAAGCACTGGATTGGGATTCAACAGGGTAACTTCTGTGAAGTGTGGAACTGTCTCTGCCTTGTAAGCAGTTTCACTGCAGGATTTCACCTTCTCAGGAGACTCAACACTTGGTAGTAAAGACATTCTGTGAAGTGTGGAACTGTCTCTGCCTTGTCACTGCAGGATTTCACCTTCTCAGGAGGCTTAACACTTGGTAGTAAAGACACTTCTTCTTGCTCCTTCTGTGTTGTTTGTGTTTATTCCTGGCTCTGCATTGACCCTCCTTGTTCTGATGGTGACCTGTTGTAAAGGTAAAATAAACTTGAAAATGGAATGAACTGCCTATGGGACATAATGAAGGAAACTGGAAAGGAAGGGGTTTATTCTTGAGGTTGTCCCAGTGTTCCTGAGTTTTCCTTTCCCAGTTGATTTCCTTCCTCTTCCACAACTCTGGCTATTCCAGCAACACACCCCCAACCAGATTCTTCTCTCACTGAGTTTTAGCTTGGTAAACTGGCACTTTTTCCCCCCACCTCTTCAAGCAAGTGGCTGAACACTTCCTGGCTGCTGGCTAACCCAGCTTCTCAGCTACCCACTGCCAAACCAGCAGGAAACTGTGGCTGACAAGTTTTTCCCCTGGTAGAAAAGCAGCAACGTTTCGTTTTGGGCCAAAAAATTCACTCTTTGGGGAATGAAAAGCTGTGTCTATTGGGAGCCCTTTCCTCTGACAGCAGGTCCTGGGGAGGTGTAGGAGACTTTCTGGGCTGTGGGTGTGGAAGAGCCAACTGTGCTGCCAGTTCATACTGAAACTGAGCCAGATTATTCACTGGAAATTTGCAGCCTTTTGGGTTTCTAGATGCCTACCTTGAAGACAGTCCCACTTCCTGCCTGCCTCACCACCTGACTTGATAGCTGCTTATTGATGGGAAAAGCAACCAGTTTCCTGGCTTCTTAAAGCTCCAATTCAGAGGGAAAACCCCCGAGTGTGAATCATTTAAGCCCTGGAGAATTTCACTAAAAGAGCTGGTCTTTGCATCAAAGGAAATGAAAGCTACAGTCTCAGAACAGTGAGCTTGTAACAACATACTGTATTTAAGTTTCCATTCAGAAAGAATGATAGCTTGAATTTATTAGTGTGGAATGACTGCAATATTTGAAACAGATCATGAGTGAATTTTCAGCTCAAACCCCAGAATTTATGGGGAGTTTGAACTTCAGGTTGCTGTCTGCATAGGGCCTGCAGGATGAAAAAAAATCCTTCTCCCTCAACTAATTTGCATTAAACATCCTTCTTTGCATCCTAATTTGCAATTAAACGGCCTTTTAAAATAACCATCCAATTCAAATCACCTTTTTGAAAAGTTCTGTTTGTGCACCTTCTCCAAAAGTTACATAAGAAAAATGTCCTGGCTCTGCAATTTTACAGGATTTTCTCAGTGAAAGTTTAAGAAACTTCACACTGGTAAGAAAAAAAGAGTTTAAAACTTTGCTTAAGGCAGTGGTTGATACTTAGAAGTGGCTTGATGCTCAGCATCAGATAAAGACCTTCCCACACAGTTTTAGGAAATGCAGGGTAGCAGTTTGCAGAATTAGGTGATGGGTTTTTTTACACAGTTACTGACTCAGATGCATCAGTGATGATCACAGGTATGAGGGGCCCCAGCTCTGGGGTTTTCTTTTTCAGCTGCAAGAAAAAAAACAGGAACAGGGGAAGAGAAATGCCTGAGGTACAGAAACAGCTTGTCTTGTCCTAGAGATTTTGCTCAAGTGGGGCTTCTTGATGCTGCCTGCTTGTGTTTCCTGCAGATTCTTAGTGTTCTGAAGCTGAAGGAAGGTAAAGCAATATTTTCATGGGGCATCCTTCATTTGTCTCCTTTCCCAAGGAAAGGGAAACAAAGCATTTGTATGATCACATATCCAAATAACTTCTCAACCTGTTGCCTGGTTTCAGCCCAGCCTGACAACAGTGTTCAGCTCATCAGGAAAAGAGGCTCCTATTTCTGGTGCTCTATCTACCTTGGGTAAGAATTCTTCTAAAACTGTTGAAATATTTCAATGATGACTATTGATTGATTTTTTGGCAATAGATGCATCTGTCTATAATCTTGATTTACGTGTGGCCAGGGGGAAAATTTGGATAGAACAGGGGCCATGGGACCACACAAAGCTTGTTCAGGTGGAGGCAACTTGGGTGAGAAGCCTACAGGGAGCTGAGAACTTCTGTTTGAATGAAATGAAAGGCCTGGTTGTGTTGGTTTGTAGCACTGGTGCTTTTTCAGTGCTGACACACATGTAGAATGGGGAGAAAAAAATGCTCAGGGTGTTCAAAACCCAAGGGAAATCTTTTGAGAATCATCCAAATGAAGGATTTGATGCAGCCTAGAGGTTGCTGAGGGTAGAAGACAGCAGGGAGTATTGGGGGAAACAATTGTTGGGTTGTGAAAACTTCCAGGATTATCATTTCTTCTTGATTTGGGCAGGGGAGAAAAACCTATAGAAAAGGGACAAAGCACCAAAAATTGCACTTGTGCCAAGGTTCCTCCAGACCAACCTGAGAGCTTTCTGCAGGTGGGTTTTATTTGCAGTAGTTCCACACTATATTACAACAGTTCTTTTTTTTTTCCTAAGAAGCAGGCAAGAAATGTAAGGAAATTGAGAAAGATTTCTGCTGGGGGCTGAGATCAGAATCACAGGATCCAGTTTTGAGCAGCCAAGTTGTGAGACACCACCAAGGGGCAGTGTTGGAGTGGAGCCCACACCATCCTGGGCAGCAGGTGGGGGCTTAAAAAAAGGGGAAAGCTCAGCAGATCTCTCAGTAAATAACACTAGGGAGGGGGAAGGACGAGCTGGCTTTGCAGTTGTCTGTCTCTTAATCCTTTAGGAGCTCTGGAGGACTCAGGCGTTTGCAGCCAGTGATGCTCTCCCATGGGTGTCACCTGCCACCTGGTGACCCTTCTGCACCCTGCAGGGCTCTGTCGCAGGCAGCACAGAGCAAAAAGGCCTTATCTTGGGGCTGTAACTAAGAGAAAATCATGATATTTCTTTGACCAGGGTAGTGGTTACTTCTCAGGGACAAAAGCAATCAGTAATTTCTCTACAATCCCACGCAGTGGTTGCAGATTTGTGTGTGCCCAGGTTATTCATCGTAGCCTGGAACAAGGAACACAACTGCTCATTTCCAGCCTGCATTCTAAAAATCCCTGAGAAACCCTGCCCACCTTCCAAGCTGCCACTTTCCCCTGCTTTCATCCCATTCCTTTCACATCTTTTCTGCACCAGAAAGGAGAGATGATGGTTGGGACTGGCTGGGCTGGGAGCGTTTGCCCCCTTGATTTGGTGCTGGAGGTATTGAACCCACAGCTTGAAATCAGCTGAATTAGGGCAGCAAATGAACCTGGATCCTCTTGGGGACCCTCTGCAGAGAAACACACAGTCCCTGGCTCTGAGGAAGGGTGGCTGGGCTCTGCTTTTGAGCCCAGGGGTGAGTTCTGGATGCTGCCCTGACATCCATTCTCTTGCAGCCACGTGCTTGGATATCTCATGGTGAGACAAGCTCCTGTCTGTCTTGCCTTGCTCTTGGTGGCAGGTACTGGTTGGGCACTGGGACAGTTGTTTTAAATGCAGACATCAGCATTTGCCTCCTGTTTGGGTTAGGTAGAAAACTACAGCAAAGGGGAACCTGAAATTTATGGTGCCTTGTGAGTGAGGAATTCTAGTTAACCCCAAGGCATCCTTGGTTTTCAGGCTGTGCAGCAGTTGTGTCCACACCTGTAAGAATTAAAATTCCTTCCATCTAGCTACATCTCTGTGTATTACTCTAAGTATTAGAGTAATAAGTAATCTCTAAGTATTACTTCCCATTGAAGAACTAGAAAATAGTTACTAGAAATAGTTACTGCTGCTCCAGGTGAGGTTGATCAACTTCATCCAAGGTGACACTGAGCTGGACACACACAGTTCAGACAAGTTTAGCTTTTATTTTCTTTCTATGTCTCCTGAACTGAGAAAACTCTTGCATTGTAATGGCTGAGAGGGGTGTTTCCATGATGGCTGGAGGTGGTAGAGTTAGGACACTTTTTGATGACATTTCTTTCTGGCAAAGAGGTGGCCTTTGTTTCTGGAGCTGTGAAGCTTGTTGGAAGAGCCCTCCAGCACTTTGGCAGAGCAGCTGGCACTGCTTGGGTGTGGCTGCAGGTACCGGCCTCTCCAGTGGCCACTTCTGAGCCTTGGGGAGGGTTTCTTGCCCAGATCTGCAGCATCCTCGTTGTAGAGAAGCACAAAATGGGAGAGGGTCTTTAAAGGCAAAACGCTCTGGCCTTTGAGGCGCTTGTTGAAAACCTCGAGGACCAGATCTGGAAAAGAAGATGCAGTTATGAGATGGTCTAAGATGCTAAAAGACACCCAAGCTCACAGTGTGTGAAGGATGAGGGGTGGGGAGAAGTGGCTTCCAACCTGGGATCTGTGGACTATTACTTAGAAGACAACTGAAACCAAACAGGAACCAACCAAACCAACCCAAACCAAAGTCACTGCAGCTCCACTGGAAATGTTTGAGGAAATAAACTCAGAAGTGACATTTCTTTATCTCAAGGCTGTTTGGTTTGGACCCTCAAGTGATGTAAAGAGGAGTCTGTCCTCTGACAAGCACTGAAGTGATCTGATTGTCTCCTGTTGACCTACCAAGGCTCTCGTAGACCACAGCTGGGATGATGTCCTTCAAGGCTCTGCAGTTGGTATGCAGGGCTGGGTTTGCATTCATCTCCAGAAGCCAGACCTAGGAAAGATGAAAGCCAGTCAGGAAACTGCTCTGGATCTCCTTGGAATCATCAATGCCCTTTTACTGACCAGGTAAGCTTCAACCTCAGGTAGAAGCCATGTAAAATGTTAATTTTACATATCTATACTGGGCTCATCTTCATTTCCCTTTGACATTTCAAGGTCTGAAGCCACAGAGTGTGCTGGTCCAGTTACAAATCTGTATGAAAACAAACTGTTGACTTGTGTGTCATTCTATTTACTATTTCTTTTCCCTATAGTGAGAGAAACTCATCTGTTCACTTCCTGCCTCCACCATATGGTGCTGCATCTTGTGTCTAACACATGGAGGAATTATTTGGCATTTTGTAAGGAAGGATATTTAATTATGTAACAGAACCAGGAGAATTTTACTCCCTTTTAATTGCTTTTTAAACATAATTTAGTATTCCAAGTACCTGTGAAATGAAGTCCAGGTGTTTGGTGGATTCTAGCAGCATGATAACCTTCTCTTTGGCACTTTATTTGGCTAAGAACAAAATACAACAAGATTTTTCACTTCTTTGAAAGACTCATAAGACAAATGAAAAGGCTGGTGAAGGGAAGTGAAATGTCTTTGTTGTTTGGTTGTTGTTTTTCTTTTTCAGAGGAGAACTGGAACATCTACAAAAGAAGAACCTGCTTCCCAGGTGCCAACAGAGGGCACCTAAGTTACATACATTTTTCTTGGCAAACCTTCTTCTGAGTAAGTGTTCATTTTCCTAGTTAAAGTTCATAAGGTTTTGTGCTGACAGACAAACTCATTGAACCTTCAACGTTGTCTTGATTAGGTTTTGGGTTCTTCCCCTTTGATAAAAAGAAAACTGACAAACAGGAGGAGGAATGTTCCCTGTGACATCTCTCATGCTCCTCATCATCTGTTGATGAACATCTCCCAGTTTGGAGGTGCCAGCTTGCATTACAGCAGGACCTGAGGTTTCATTGCATGTTCTTTCCACACTGCTGGATACAGCAGAAGGTTTTTGTTGATGTGTTTTTTAAAATCTAGTTTGGTTGCTGTTGTAGCCTCGTGGCTGTGGAACCATCCTGATGGCACCAGTTGGATGTCAGGCCAAGGATGATGAGACTGGTTGATGTGGTGGCTGAAAAGGACAGCATGAGACCTCAAGGCTCCTTTCCCTGCTGACAGGGGCAGAGGTAAGACCTGTGGTGTGCAGGAAATGTGTGACTGAGCCAAAGTTTTGTCCTGTTTCTGATTTAAAAAAGAAAACAGTTTATTTAGTGGGTCTTTGCTGGAGCTCACCAAGTGGAAGGAATCCTGCTGGGGTCTCAGGGAGGAAGAGGACAACATTCCATGCTCCCAAAGGCTCCAAGAGATGTGATAGTCAAGGCTGGATGGGAGTGTACAGATCCATGGTGCTGGGATCTCGCTGGCTCTCAGAGAGGGTGGCTGCACCAAGCCCCACAGCAGGGGTGCCTTGCTCTGCACTGGTGTAGCAGCAGGTCTCCAGGGACCCTGACCTTAAAGCTGGAGCTTTAAGCAGCACTGAAATACCAGGAAACAGGAGTAAAACAACTTGACCTGTGTGCTGTGTGGAAGTAGCTGGAGCCACATGCACAGCCCCACACCGAGCACAGGAAGGGCTGCTCAGATGGTGCCAACCCAGAAGGGACACTACAGGCTGAGGCAGTGGGGCTCTGTTTTCCAGTCTTTACAAGCTTTTATCACATTTTTTTATCATGGTGACCTGGGGTGGGCACAACCCAAGTCTTCCAGCATCCATGTGGTCCCTCAGGGTCCCAGGGGGGGTGAAAAGCCTCGTCCTTCAAATCAAAGGAGCCGTCCCTGCTTTAACGAGGGTTTCCAGTGTTATCTTCCTTTGTGTACATCTATCACAAGCTGGCAAGTGGCTTATCTGTGCTCAGGCTGTTCTCTGCTGGTAGATACCTGAAGCCCTTTATGGCTGATAAAGAATTCACACATCTGTCTTCCCAGCCTACCCCTGGGGAGAAGCCCTTTTGCGTGGCTGATGCAATCCTTGCTGAAAACAGGCTCCTTCAGCATTTCAATGACACTGTCCTCAGCTGTGCAGGGGCTTTTTGGCATTCACAGCCCAGCACAAGAGAGCTCCCAAAAGCAGGAGGAAAAAAAGCCAACGAGAGCAGAACAAAATCTTTTGCTCCCTCTCCTCTTAAAATACTTCTTCCCTCAGCTGACATGTGAGTGTGCAAAGCTGTGGTGGCTCAGCAGGCCCTGCTTGCCTAGTCTGTGCTGCTCAGCACTCTGAGGCAGGAAAAACACTCTTCAAAGACTGGATCAGGATGCTGCAGGGCCTTCAGGAATTTTTAGGAATGATGCTGAGGGCATTTATATCTCAGAGAAGTAAGGAGAAGGGAACACGTTACATCAGCGCAGATTCCACACGTGCCATGAAACAGGATGGCAGGGGAGTAAGGCTGTTGTGTGTTCTAGGTGGAGAGGACAGGATGTCAGCCCACAGAAAACTGGGATTTGCTGCACTGACCAGTGTTAACTGGGGGCTGGAGCTGTCAGTCCTGCATCCTGCAGGGAGGGTTCAGGGGTCTTGATGCAGCAGCCAAGAAATAAAGGAGATCTGTTGCTCCCCAGAAGGGGCAAGGAAACCTGTGCTAAATAAATGCCTGAATTCCCACATTGCCCTCTCTCAAAGGAAAAGTTCCAGTGTCCAGAAATCCTCCTCATGCTTGTCAAGAAGGGGATTTTGTCTCCCTCTCCATATGCAAAACACACGTAATGGTCTTTAAGCGCTGAGGTTTTTCACTGGCCAGGTAGGAATTGCCACAATGGAGTGATACTGGATCTTCTACTTAAAGTTTACCCAGCCCAGGCTGTGCATGCCAACCTTGCAAAAGACAATTCCCACTGAAATTTGAGAAGCACCAGTTTCTCTGTCTTTGCCATTTACTCTCCCTTGCCATTGACTTTCTGCACAAAGGAGCCCATTGTTTGGGTGCCTTACCCACTGCTGCCTACATTGATTCCATTCTTCCCTAGGGTTTGCTGTTCCCACTGCCCTTTGCTGGGATATAGTTGAGTTCCTTTCTGCTCTAGCAGCAGCAGAAGCTGCCAGATGTCTGTTATGGTTATGCCAGGTGGTTTTGAAGGACTGTACTTCAAATTTCCTTTTCTTCTGGTTTTTCCTTGTCTGTTTCATTCACTCTTTACAAGTTCGAGTTGTAATTCTAGCAGAGTTCAGAGACTCACTGGGCTGACCTGTAGCTACATGGTGAACCTGCAGTGAACGTGGGAGATGCTGATTCTGGCACCTGAATTGATACTGATTCAGTGGGAGGTGTCCCTGCCCATGCAGGGGTTTGGAACCAGATGATCTTTAAGGTCCCTTCCAACCAAACCATCTTGTGGTTCTTCAGGAGGTGAGGGCTTTGATGGATACTCAGCTGGTGGCTGGGATTGAGCTCTGGGCTTTCAGAGCAGAATGAGGGATGTATTTGGGAGACTTGGTTAGATTGCATGGAACAGATATTCTTATAAATGCTAAATGAGCATATAAATATATATTATAATTGAGAAGCTGTGATAATATCTAATTTAAATGGCTTTATGTATTGAGGCATCTGGCCTTGTCAAGTCATTCTTACATTTCCAGGCAGTTAAACTCCAACCTTGCTGCTGGCCAAGGTCTACCTTGAAATGACTGAATGGTGGATGCAAGAGACACTAACCAGGCACCTGAATTGATACTGATTCAGTGGGAGGTGTCCCTGCCCATGCAGGCATTTGGAACTAGATGATCTTTAAGGTCCCTTCCAACCCAAACCATCTTGTGGTTCTTCAGGATGGTGGAGGTGAGCTCTTTGATGGATGCTCAGTAAATCTGTAGGCTTTATGTGATGGCAGAGGGATTACACACTGATTTATCTGGCTGAGCATCTAGTATGTTTGGTTTCTGGAGAAACAAAAACCCTGAGTGGACACTGAAGTTCCCATACCCCTCACTAAGAGCTCCACTTCCCTGTGGCAACTCTGCACAGCCCTGTTTCCCCTACAGTTTCTTCCCATCCTGAGGTGTTGATGCCAGGGCTCCCTGGAGCAGTGAATGTGCAGCTCCCATGTCTTGATGCTGGGCAATGGAACTGGAGGGAAGAAATGAATCCTGCACTTCCCAGCTGCTCTGAATGCTCTGTTTTGTTCCTGGCACCAGAGCCTGGGTCAGTGCTGCTGGGTGTCTGGCCAGTGTCACACTCAGCACTGGGGGTTATTGCAGACATACCTTGAAGTTCTCATCAATTAAAAAGTCGCAGCCAATGAGATCAAAGTAGCCCAGTTTGCAGTCCAGCTTGTGCTTGGCTGCCAGGAAGCACTGCAGCATGATCTGCTGCATCCTTTTCTGAAACAGAAGACAGGAATGGTGGTCACTGGGAATGCCAAGGGCAAGGGAGTTGCTGTAAGTCATAGGTGGCCTGTGTTTAGGGACATTATTTGTTCCCCTGCCTCCTCTCTAGGCTGGGAAGGATATTGTATTTTTCAGACCACGTGTCTTTTACATTTTCTTTGTATTTGGCTTTAAACTACAGCATTTCCAAAACCAAGCTGAGGAAGCTTCATCCTCTCCCCTGTTCATTTCCAGCCCAGCAAGTCACACAGAGCACTGCAGCATCGTGAGGCTCAGGCTGGTGACATCCAGTCAGGTCAGTTTTGCCCTTTGTTTCTTCAGTGAGAAATGAAAGGCAGTGAGATCTTCTCCATGATAAAGAGAAACTCTAAGGCCCTGATATGATTTTCATGGGGTAAAATCAGAGGGGAAGGAAGTCAGACAGGAAGGAGACCACTGCAAGTGCAGTCCCTTTCCAGGCTGGAGGACTCTATGTGTGCTTTATTTCTTAATGCAGGACCACAGCACTGGGCCAGGAGTGTGAAGTCTATAGCTCCATTTTATAGCTATAATTTGCAGTCACACTCTTT